AATCGCCAAACTGCACTTTCTGTCAAGAAGCAGCGGAATCCGTCGAGCATTTACTCTTCTCCTGCAGGATATCTTCTGAGTTTTGGAAGCATGTCTTGTCCTGGCTAAGAGATAATTATGTTCATGTTGAGACAATTAATGAGTCTGATGTGATATTTGGAAAATTTGATATTGTAGAAGACTATATTCTAATTAATCATATTTTGTTATTAGCTAAATATTATATCTACTGTAGGAAATGTCATAATAGCGTACCTTCAATTAGAGGTTTTATTGCTAGGGCAAGACGTGTCTTCAATATTGAGCTCCATATCGCCAGGGAAAAAAATAAACTTCTTTTTCATTTTCAAAAGTGGGAGAAGCTAACTAATGCACTTTGTAGTAGTTGATACCCATAGGTTCGTTAAAATTAGCAGGCATCTTTATTAATATCGTCGTTGTTGTAATACATACATACATTTTTCGTTGTTGTTATCCTTTTTCCTTTTTGAGTAGAATTGTATTTAATGTTTATTCTTAAGTAAAATTGTAAAACTTGTCTTTAATTCAATAAAAACTGTTAAAAAAAATAAAAGAATAAAAAAAAAGGTGGGGTGTCACGACAACTCAGACCTCAGACCCCCGAAAAACTGAGGCCCCGGGATGTCCCAAGAACTCAGACTTTCAATTACCGTAGACACTTCCCCGATTCCTTTTTCTACCAGATGGTCATCACAGTTTGAAAGTTGACGATAAAAAAAACTTGCGGATTATGCTTTCGTCGGTCGGAATGTTCTTGACGCTCGGCGTGCAAAGGTTTGCGACAATACTCTTTCCTCTGCAGATCACAACTTCCTTCACTGTGAGAAATATTGCTTTCGAAAACGGGCTTCTATTAATAAAGAAAACATTGTTATAACTTACCAGGTAGCTCAGACGCTGTAGCGGTACCCTCCGAATAGACATCCTGCTTTTATATTTTGGGTTTTAAGGCTTTTATTTGAGAAAACCCTCTCGTATACTTACTGGTGGCCGCCATCTTACATAACGCGGTATAACGCAGAGGTACTGCAGGCGCGAGTCGGCGCGAGGCGGGAGGAAAATGATCGCTCTTTTCCAGGCCTACTCCAGAGAAAGTTGCAAAACATGTTTTTGGTCCAATCACAAAGGGACTGTTATTTTTGCAAGTTAAGAACCGGATCCTTTTATGTGGCAAAAACTGTTCTCAGGTTACCCTTCTCTACAAATTTTCTTTACCTGTGTTTCAGTTTTCCTTAACAAATCCAAACAATTTTTTTAAGCATATCTGGAACTCACATACTACGCGCGCATGGACTGGTTTATGTTTGGGTAAATTAAATTTTAGAGCATTTTTCCCCACTGATATGGAAGCTTCGCTCCGAAATGAACCCATTAAAACGAGGTATAAGATATCAAAAAGAAAAATTAAACGTGATTTAAAGGTCAAAAATACCATTTTTGGCATTTTTTAGGTCTTCTGGTTTTGCTGACTGCTTTGTGGTACCAAAAAGATATTCTACATTCGTTTCAAAAACGTTTTAAAAAGAAACTGGCTGGTGAAAACGCCGTGAAAAGACTACATAGCATGGAATTTGCTCGCTCCGTTTTCAAAAAATGGGCTCCTGGCAATGGATATAAAATTCACGCAAAAAAACACAAACATATTACAGCAGGTTTAAAATACAAACCCGATATACTGGATTTTTCATAGAGATGAAGCAAGTTGATAAATTCTGCATTAAATCAATTTAGTTAATTTGCTAAATTCGCAGTACGCACTTCAGTTCGGTCACCAGCTTCTATGAGAAAACACTTGTAAAACGGTTAAGCTTTAATGTGAGGGTAAGATAAGATATTTGGTATATGAAATGAATACGATCTTATCTTATCGAGGCTTTTACTAAATAAAACTATTTTCAAGCAAAATCGCTCCAAACAACTACTGTAAATGCACGCGCTGCCCTGGGCTATGCTGGGTCACTCAGGGCCTCTTTACATTAGCTCGATTAACCGGGCTGGCCCGGTTTCTGAGATCTCGACTTGCCTCTAAATTCGTTGTAAAGTTTTTGATGAGTTTTTCCAACCGGGATCTCATCTCTGGATGAACACTTCAGCCCGTTGACCGGGATGAAAGCGGTATGAATTCGGCTGCCCGCGCCGGATGGCATCAGGGGCACCCAACGACTGTTTTCTGTAAAATATCTAAATTCGTTTTAAAGTTTTTGATGAGTTTTTCCAACCGGGATCTCATCTCTGGATGAAGACTTCAGCCCGTTGACCGGGATGAAAGCGGTGTGAATTCGGCTGCCCGGATGGCATCAGGGGCACCCAACGACTGTTTTCTGTAAAATAACTGTTTGGAGAAGCAAATATTTCCTAGAATTTTCAATTATTTGAGAACGGCTAAAAGTTTCTAGATGAGCCTTCCATTTAGGTACAATTTTTCGAAGCTTATCTGAAACATTCCCTACGAATTTCTGAAGTTTAATTTTTTTACAGTTTACTCCTTATGTTAGGCTAATTTTCTTAGGACAAAGAAGCCTAAAATTTTCGTATTCAAAAAATAATAAATTGATGGAGAGGAATAAGAAGAATTCTCAGTTTCGTAAAACGTTCAATTACAACTAAAAATTTTCCGGAAAATAACACGGAAGCTCTTGTAATTTCGAAAGGCCTCAAGTTCCCTAAGGATGACCGAACGGATACAAATTTTGTAGTGACGCTTAGAATCGATTTGCAGAGATCTAGTAAAAGTACTCTGGATAGCCTAAAGAGTGTTTTCTATGTATTTAGGAGGAAACCGTCGTTGGGTGTCCCTGTGGCATCGTGTTGCTTTGCCTACTGTATCATAAGCATCCCATTTATCTGCAGTGATATAGCTATAAGAGTTGCCAAAGCTATTATAAGCGCAAAAGTTTTACCTTTGTGTTTCTTCCTGGTTGTTTTGTTTCACGAATTTCGCGCCAGAGCTAGTGCCGGCCTTTTTTCATCTTGGAAACCGAGCTGAAATTTCTCATATGAACCGCAGCTGAAACTGGTCCCGGTAAGCTGGCCAGCCCGGTCAACCGAGCCTACGTGAAGAGGCCCTCTGTTTGTGCAGTTTTCGAACAAGTTATCACCAGCTTGCAGCCTAATTGAGGTCGATTGTATGCTATCTTGATATAAT